CCTCTTTCGTTACTCTTTTATTTGTACAGCCGAAGAATCTACTATTACTCCTCTTCACATTCTCAAGGCCTAGCTCTGCCGAGTTTTTGGCAAGTCGCAGCTTACATTTATGATTTCAGATCCCCCGATACAGATTTTTTTTGCAGATGAATCTCAGTCTTTGTTCTTTGAGAGCTTTGCCTGTTCCTAGAGGGCTAGGCACAATCGCATTTGGATTCCCTACCTGCAGGATTTCTCTTTTGCCAGGAATACGTGCAAGGGCAGCTTTTTGTAGCTTTGACTTAAATCATTCACTCAAAATTCCGCCTCTATTTTAACTCACTGAAGACAGTCGATTCCATTTACATTGTTTTTCTTTACCAGATACAAAAAGCTAGACTCCGTCCTTATTACCAGGATATCTTACCCCATCATTTTCCAAAGCAGTGCAGAGGTATATGTTTTTGTCCCGTCTTTGATTCTGCACGCTCCGTGCATCACACGCGCTCCCTACCCGCAGCTCCGCGTTACCTCTGCCTTCCCCTGAAGCACAGACGCGCCGCTCTGCCTGTTCTCGCCCACAGCGGCTGTTGGACTGACGAGATCACTGCGCTCAGCTTCTCCCCCTCCGCACTCAGGAGCCGGCGTTTGTGTTCCAGATACCTCACCCTTACCTTCCCGGCCACCGCCAGCTCCATCGGCAGAGAAGACAACCTCTTCTCAGAGCAGTCCGCCTGTTTTGCTGTTGCTTCACCTGTCCACTCGCCTCCTCTCGTGTGCTCCTTTAGGCAAAGATCTGCCAATGTCTATCTGATTTTCCTCCTCTTGTACTAAAACTAGCAATGCAGACAGCAGCCTACCCAAACCACCCCCCTCATTTCTTGGTTTAAAGCCACTTCAGTTTCTGAGGGACCAGACGGTTGGGTAGAGACCCTTCACCGAGTGCTCCTCCTCTCAACGCTTTCCGTGGCTGAACAGCAGGTGACTTGGCAACCATGGGGGCCACCCCTAACGTTTGCCTGGGGCATCACCACGCCAGGCAAAGGGCTGTAGCTCCAGCACAAGCTACAACCCCTCCTGGATGATGCCCATCAGGCAGCTCATGCTCAGTGACCTGGTGCTCTCTAAACCCAGAGCTACGTGGTCCTTGGGGACATGCGGAGGCAGAGAGGAAGGAGAACAGGAGGCAGACATACATATGGGCTGGACATGCTGAAAAATAAATGGTCACCGGTGAGCAGCCTCTTCTTCTGTTTCATTTTAGCCTTACATGCATTCACACTGCGAAAGACCATCTTCCTAAATCACTTGGAGATAGATCTGCAGTCTCTCAGGTACTTGTACAAGTGCTGCCCGCCCATGGTACCTGTCGCACCCCCTGGTGACACTCCACAGCGCCTCTGCAAGCACGAATGGAGCTCCAAGGGGCTGCTCAACAAGTGGGAGCGGGAGCAAAGTCCCTCTGGTCCAAAGCTCCACCAGTGCCTCTGCTCAGGGAGACAAAGAGATTCCTCTGCAGAATCACACGATGCAGCTTGAGATCTGAGGGGAGGCACTCCCACTACCCAAAGGCACGTCTACACGCCACAATCTCATGATGGACCCAGAGACAGGGAGATCCGACCAGCCGGTGTTTGCACACAGGTTCTTACAGCCACAGGTCTCAGACTACCAACAGCCGGGAGGACCACCTGATGAGCTTGACCCTATATTGGCAGAAAGACAAGGCCTGTTTCAACCACATGGAAGGCACGAAAAGGTTACTTCCTTGAATCCAATAGAAATGTCACACCACTTTAAGTAGAACATGGGGTATGGTGTTAGAGAAGGTGCACACAGGAATAAAAGTGTGTGATGAAGTGATGGAATTGAGAACAAGAATTTGGATCTCCTCTGGGGATGTCGGGATGATACAAGAAGGATCACCTCTATGGGAAGATGGGCAAAAGCAGAGCGCTCTGACTCAGCAGGGGCAGAAGAAATACATTTAGAACATACGGAAAGTTTGAGTTATTTACCAAAGAAATTCTGTTTAGTCCCCAAAGGATTTCAGTTCCACAAACAGTAGATATCTAAGGAGACCCTCACTGGGAAGCGAGAACTTAAGTTTTCGCCTTGGGGCCTGTAACAGACGTGGGCAACAGGACATCTTCCTTCAGCGTCAACAAGCGCTGCGGCGTCTATGAACTGGGACCTGGGAGAGAAGTGCTGACCCAGAGACAACCTTAGAGAAGAACTTGGCTCATTTAGGCAGATCAATATGCAACTCATGGCCTTTTCCCTCAAAGCATGAAAATACATACAGGTTAAAGGAACATCCTAATACCATCTCCAAAATGTCAACCCTGAAAGTTGCTCTCTGAATTTCAATGAAGATCACAATGAATTTCCTCAGCTGCTCTCATCCTTGTCACAGTCATCTTCAATCTGTTCCAACAAGAGCCTAGTCCGGTATCTGCCACGCAACCCTGCTACCTTCCTCAATCGATAAACACAGTGGGAGATGTCCACAAGTCTGATGTTGCTTTGTTCCAGAGCAAAGTATAGTCAGGCCAAAACCTTTGCGCCAGCACACAGCCCAATCAGCTGTCAGGATATCCTTAAACTCAGAGGACAGACACTTCTCCTTCTTTGATCTTGATGAGAAGTGGCAGAGCAACATCATGTCCACACAGCTAAACTTTCTTCTGTGCAAAAACAACAGCCTTATCCAAACTACCTTCTGCAAACAATCTGTACCTGAAAACTGTGCCCGAGCTTTGTCTGGAAAAGTAAAAGTTATCAAAAGCCAAAACCACGCCAGGGGACATGCCAACAACTCAACAGTATAGACAACCAGAGGAAAATGCTCATCCCTCTGCTCCAACGTTAGTGTTTAAGCACCATCTGGTTTTCACATTGCACTACACAACTTCAATTTAACCCAAACACGTAACATTCTCCAAGAAAGCACGCAGCAAACATGAACTCCTAGATACAGGAAGGGCTTATAAACCCCGTTGATTAGTCTATTCTCTTCTTTATTTAGCATCATAGGAGGACAGGGCAAACACCCCACCACCCCCCGCTGCAATGGCTCCAGAGTACAGCTCCAAAGCAGCACCAGAGAGAGGAAGGTGGAACCATCTCAGTGGAAATCCCAACTCATTAGCCCTAATCACCCCTGAAAAAGAAGGAATACCCCACTCGAATCTTCACTGTCATCAAGGGTTTCCCATCAGCGCAACAGAAACACATTTGCTTCTCTTCTGACGGGCCCAGAGCACAGCTGAGTTCACAAAATAGGAGCCTTCTCTGGCCAGGAGAGTGCAAAGACGTGGGGGACCAGCACAGAAAGATGAAGCAAATACATAGAGAATTTGAAGGAAGAATAGGAACGAGCACTGGGAACATGAGCTGGGCCCACAGACTGGAGAGCTAACAGCTGAACCAGTTCGGTGGCGGGGGCAGGAAAGCTTTGCTGATCAGACCCTGCAGTGCAGGTTCGTACTGCTACTGGTGGGGTTCCGCTCCCACTACACCCTCCACGGCCACAGGACCAGGTCACAGAATCATAGAATGGTTTAGGTTGGAAAGGACCTTGAAGATCATCGAGTTCCAACCCCCTGCCCTGGGCAGGGACACCTCCCACCAGCCCAGGTTGCCCAAGGCCACCTCCAGCCTGGCCTTGAACACCTCCAGGGATGGGGCCTCAACAACCTCTCTGGGCAACCTGTGCCAGTGCCTCACCACCCTCAGAGTGAACAACTTCTTCCTAATGTTTAATCTAAACCTGCCCTCTTCCAGTTTGAAGCCATTCCTCCTCGTCCTATCACTATATGCCCCAGTAAAAAGTCCATGAGAGTGGAGTAGAGGGGCAGAATCACCTCCTTAGGTCCCAGAGGCACCTAATACTTTACCCGCAGGGACTGACGTGTAACTGTCCCAGGGCACACGTGACCTGCCACATACCCATCACAGCACACAGAGCTGGCGGCTCACCCATGGAACCCAAGCATCCCGCTAAGGAGGTGCCTGAGGGTGCAAACATAAACATTTAAAACTCTCAGGAAGGATTGGGATTGGAGCAGAGAAAAGACTTTATAAGTGGGTTCAGGCTTCCAGAAACCAATTAAAACTAGTTGTTGTGCAAAACAGAGAACTGTATTTTATTGATTTTCTTCTCTCTCCTACAACTTTGTTTCCAGCTTTGCAATCTCACTTAGCAGAATCCAGCTGTGTGAATTTTAAAGCTCTTTTAACATGCAAAGTGAACTCCACTGAATCTGTCAAATCAGGGCCACTTCTCTCCTCTCCTAAGTCATTCATTCAAAAAGAAATAAAAAAAAAAAAATAATCCAGATGTTCTTTTCAGTTGCTGTACACTGGGACAAGTTCAGTCTTGCCAGAAGTGTTTCCCACCCAGTCCTCAGGCTGGGAGAGGAACACTGCCCGGGCAGACGTCAGTGACAAGGGGGAAGCTGTGGTGATACACCCCACAACAGCAGGAGACCCATTAAGTCACGGTGACCTCCAAGAACACTGTGCTGTTTGGCACACGCAATCCACAGCTCCTCCCGACACTGCTGTCCTCCAGGAACAGCAGATTTGGTGGCTGGTGCTGGAGACGGAGAGTCGGGAGTGCCAGGGCTGAGTCACAGTCATTTTTAATATTTTCTGTTGGACTAGAACAAACACATGCAAATTGCTGTTTTCTTTTGAAGTCTCTTAAAATGCAATGCGGGGTTGGAGGTTCAGATCAACAGTCACGCTCTCTTGCTCCATCACTCACTGTTGCCTGCAGAAGACCCTGACACCGCAGCCATCTGCACAAAAGGGACCGATGACTGCTGTCCCCACGACAGTACCGCACACTTACCACGGATCAGCGAGTCTGCCACTGGATGCACCCAGTAACATCGCCCACTGCAAAGAACGGGCAAACTCAAGAGACTGCTAGAAATTTAAAGTGAGTACTTCTGAGTTTGCGGGGCTGTCCAGCGCGTCTGCTGAGAGACACTCAGACGTAGAAGAGAGCTTACCTTGCCGCGGATCATACTGTCGCATCTGCACCTCCTCAACACATTCTGCCGGGAACCAGCCAGTCCTTCCTTTCACGGTTCCTTCCCAGAAGCCACCTTCGCCGATACTCAGCACTGTGGGGAGAAAGACAAAGGTGGGTGAGAATGAGGAGGGCCTCCAGAAGAAGGGAAGGCCAGAACGAGCATCGTATGGCGGTAACGCAGGGGAAACACGGAAGGGCAGAGCACAGAAAATTTGTCTGGGGTCTGGAGGAAGAGAGCACCTCAAGAAGCCTTCAAAAGCTTCTCTCACCCATGTCCAGAAGACAGAGAGTGTAGACAATGGCCTCCGTGCAGCCGTGTGTTGCGAAAATGAAACAGCAAATTGGTGCACCCATCTTTGTAAGAAGGATTGTTAACGGGGGACGCAGCCACAACAGCGGCTTTGGTAAAACCATTTCCTGGAAAGGTGCAACCTACCGTAACTTCTGACATCCTCAGAGCAACAGGGAAATCACAGCCCCATAAGGAAAACAAGACGCAGAGAGGGGAAGAAATTGGCCGAGGTGGCAACACAAGTCACCTGAGAGCGGGGGTGTCCTGACTGGTCCGTGTTCAAGAAACGGCGAGCTGTTCCACTCTAAATGACACAGCGAACACGAAGGCACTGCACTGTCACAGCAAAATTCTCCCAACCCATTAAGCCTTGTTTTTACTTGCTCAAAGCTGAGAGAAGCAGGAAGGAAGTCTTGAAACGTGCTCTGAAGACTAAATGAATTCAGAGTCAAGGAGATTTTAACGGAGAATCACATCAGGGAACTATCAGCTGGAACTCCCCACCGAGCACCGGCGGGAAAGGACAGCTTTCAGGTAGCCAGGACACAAACTGTCGGAGCGCTACAGAGGAACCCAGCACTTCTCATTGCTCCTGGAGGGTGAACCGGGGCCCAAGGCAGACCAGCCAGCACAGCTCCAGGGTACAAAACAGTCTGAGGTTTCTGCTATGACAACCCTTGCCGGCAAATGCATGTTTGATGTCAGCTGCCATCTCCGAGCTCCCCGCAACGGATCCCCCACACCTTATGCTAGCAGGCTCTGCAAGACAGATCTGGATTGTTCTGGGACATTTAAAAAGGCATCAGATGTGACCATTACGTTTCCTATGGCCACAGAGAAAACAATTGTCATTCCCCGAGCACCCAAGAGAACAAGAACAGGCACAATGTGAGAGAAAAAAAGGGAGGCGAGAATCATTACCGATCTTTCTGGATGTTCCCCATTTATATATTGTACCCAGAGTGCCCAGATATGACCCCTATTTTATCCAGAAAACGGCTGTTGTGCACCTCTCACTTGAATTGAGGCACTTACAAGGCCAATTAACTGCACCATCCCGATCCAAGAAAGAGGAGAAGGAGAGCAGTTACGTATGCTTTTAGGTGACCGTGGCTCACAATGCTTTCCTAACTCTTTTTAACACAGTGGTCTCTGGAACAGATTGTGAATTAATGTGTTAGATGTAGCCTATAAAATGCTATAGATCAAGAGAAACTGCTGCAGATCACCCGAAAGTGATAAGCTTTTGATACATCCTTCGGAAAACATTACGGCGTTGCATTTGTAACAGCAATACGTTTGACATCCAGACAAAAACCAAACACGAGAGTCAGCATCGCGGGGTCCTTGCCGCCAACGATCTCAAAAGTATTCCCTCAGCATTATCTGGATAACAAGTTCTTAAAAACAAGCCCGCCACACCAAGAGGTCCCCTTGATTAGCGCAGAGACCCGCAGTTTCCCCAGACTTGCTTTGAAACGTCAGGAGCCGTTATAAAACCCCTCAGTACAGAGAGGGGACACTGCGCCGGATTCTTAAGCTGCCCGCGAACCCCCGGACAACAGCGGAAGGAAAAGGCCGATGTCGGGTCTATTTTAAACTCGCAGCATCTTATCTTAGGTTTTTTTTCCTATGGCTGTTTCTCCAACTTTGTAGTCGTAACTCAGCCTTGTGGCTTTGGTAGCAGAAACTTCATCTTCATTTTGAGCTCGCCTGCAATCTGAAGCGTACTCAAGTGAATTTGGGGGTGAAAGAGAGAGCTGCTTCTCCCAGGGGCAGAGACCGCAGGTTTGTGGACAAGTCTCGGGGCCTGACCCAGCACAAAGGCCGTGGTGACCCTGGAGGCTGCGGGATGCTCCCTCCAGCCGTCGGGCAGGCCACCATGAAAGATGAGGAACCTCCTGCGGCTGATTACCAAAAAGGACCTTTGGCAACGGGATGACAGTGATGAGGCAACCAGCAAGCACAGGGAAACCTTACTGTCTCGTTCTGCTACAGCTGCAACCAGGCAGACAACACAGAGCTGACCAGGGTTATTCAGCTCCAGATGCAAGAAACCACCAAGAAAATGAGACCACCGCTACGACACGATCCCCAGCAAGCGGATCGTCGATCCTCAGTAGGAATAGCTCTCGAGATAAATGCTGATAATAACAAAATTTGTACCACAAATATCTTATGGCTGTGCATGGTGTCAGAGCTACGCAAACAGCAGTTACTGCTCATCTTGACCACAGCACAAGGATTCTGCACAATTCCCAGTATCCCACCGCTCCTCACTTTTTTACCCATCACCTCCGAACGGGCTGGTCACTCTGCAGAATGCACAAAAACGCCCGGTTTGAAAGGGTGAGCTCCCACTCCCAAAAAGCCATCCTCTCAGATCACCTCCCCATGGAGACACTTCCCCCTACAGCTGAAACACGGTGGGGCATCCATCCTGAGGGCCACCAAGGGCCCTCAGGACCACGCTCGGCTCCTCTCTCCTGGATGTCTCTGCTTCACCCCAGCACGGGGAGGCAGTAGCATCGTGCTCAAAGGGCCACACTGCCGCCCGTCACCTCTGTGTCACCCTGCTGTCCTCCACCACCCCGGGGTCCCTCCCTGCACCTCCTTCAGCGCTCGAGCTCCATGTGTGTTAGCTGCACTGCTTTCTGCCCCAGCCGGTCACCTCTACACAAATCCCCGTGTAATTAGCTCTCTTCACTAATGCAGTGGTGCCTTCCAAGCCAAAGGCCTCCGAGGAAAATGGTTTCTTTTCTCTTTTCCTCTCTTGAGCCAAAATATCAGCTGCGCCGACCACACAGAAGTCCTTGTGCTCTTGGCCAACACCTCTGGGGAACTTGCTCCCGCTGCTCCAGGGTGATGACCGCCCGCCCCAGCGACGCGCAGGGCTGGAAGGGAAAGCCGTCCTTCCCAGTAAGGCAGGTAAATGCCGTGCTGGGAATACAACTTACGGCTTAACTCCCAGTGGGCAGACTTACGGGACTCTCAGCTCAGGAAAAAAGATCATGTGATTACGCACGTTGCAGCACAGCTTACCCCCGACACGGACCATGGTCCCACTGCCAGCCTGGGACTTCTGCCGCTGGTAACTGAGTGGACAACTCTGGGTTGTGGGTTTTTTTAATTACTTAACAAATAAACACCTGAATTACTGTGGTATTTGACATCCCGACGGGCAGAAGGCACAGACACATCCACACTCCACCATGTGCTGCCACCTTTCCAACTCAGCTCCCTCCCAGCACTTCACAGGCAGCGCTATCCCTGCACCATCCCTGCACCCATCGCCACAGCGCCCATATGTCATTCATAGCTAAATCCAAACACCAGAGTTATTAATAAATCAAGCACTGCTCCATGCCAGCCAAAGCAAATTCCCCAAAGAAGAGGAACTTCACAACTGCCCGTGTCCAGGCATTACTCCTGTAGGAAGCAAGGGAACAACAAACACACAAGGCAGCCTGATTTACAAGCCAAACAGGAGACTCATTTCAGTCTCCTCTCCAGATCTTTTCCTGAGATGCAAATGCTTCTGCTCTCCAAAGGTTGCGATGTTATCACAATCTGGAATAGACCCAAATCTGTACCTTATTTCCCACTGCTCTCATCCATGCTTCAGCAGCTCTGCTAACACTTCCCAATGGAAAATTTCTCTTTTCTAATACTTGGTATTTCCGACATCCAAACCAGCCCTTCATGGAGGAGAGCTCATCCAGCTCTCCAGAGCCTTCTGTTCTTGCATTCTCATGCTTGGTTCTTCAATCGTGTAGTACTCCTTTTTAACATTTGCTACTTCTTAGGGATCGGAAGGACTGAAGTTTCAGCCTGTCTGGCAGCAAGCTGAACACAGATTTTAAGGTAACAGCAAACTGAGTCTATTCCAACGAAAGGAACAATTTAGTTGTCCATATTTCACCAGTTTGTCTCTGAGGACGTTACACGAGACAATGTAAAAACCTTGCTCAAGTCAAGATAAACAACATCCGCTGCTCTCACCTCACCCAACAGGCTCATCCCCTCACTGTAGAGGGCTGTCAGGTTGGTTAAGCAGGGTTTTCCCTGCACAAGTCCAGGCTGGCTACTCCTAATCACCACCTTGTCCTTCACATGTTTGGAAATGGTTTCCAGGGTTAGTTCCTCCATCACCTTCCCAGGGATCAAGATGAGACTGACCAGCCTGGAGTTCCCCACACCCTCTCCTTTATCCTTCTTGAAAACAGGAGGGACATTTGCTTTCTTCCAGCTGTCAGGAACCTCTCCTGACCACCATGACCTGTCAGAGATGGTGGAGAGTGGCCTGGCGATGCCATCAGCCAGCTCCCTCTGCACTCATGGGTGCGATCCATCAGGCCCATGGACTTGTGTCTGTCCAGTTTGTCTGAATGCTCCCTAACCTGACCCTCCTCCTCTGAGGGTATGCCTACCTTACCATGGTTTATCCCACCACTCTCAGGGGCCTAGGATTGCTGAAGCCTGGTTTTATCAGCAAAGGCTGAGGTGAAGAAGACAGGTGCCTCAGTCAGCTCATTCGAACTTTTCTTGCCGAATAAACGCACAAATTCTTCAGAAATGAGGTACCGAGAGCATGAGCTTTGGGCTGGCAGGGAGAGGAGCAGATGGGTGCCAAGGAGCTCTGAAGCTACAGCACACCAAAAGGACAGCACTCAAAGCAGCTGCTTGGAGTCAGCTGGACTTCACCAGAGCCTGATGTGACACGTGATGCCATCTCTCAGCGGTCTCTTCAAGTCTCTCCTGAGAAGTCACTCCAAAAGCCTGTTTCATTTTCTTCTGCA